GTTTCTCTTATTTAATACATTTCATTTAACATCTGTTGAAATAGCACCAGATTGGACATGCACCGATCACTGGGGCATAGGAATAGAGAAGACAAGTCCCTGCCCTGTGGGTGCTGCTGGTGTAGGGCATGTTCACAGAGTTCCAAGGGCTACTCAGGCTTACTGGGAAGAAGACAAGCAGGCAGCAGCCAGACCCTACCTCTACTTCAGCCACAGGAATTCCACTGTGTATGTACTGGGGTTCCAGGTAAATTTCCTTTGGAAGAAAAGGGAGCCCCTGCTGCTTAAAAATAAAGAAAATATTTTGTTCATAGGAGTTTGACTTATGAAAAATAGGTAAGTGAATAATTAAATAAATGAAAGTGTGAAGGTGTCCTGGGAACAGAAGGGGATCAAGAAGAGGGGATTACGATTATGATTTAATCTTGACACCTGAGTTTCAATTAAAATAAAAAATAAAAACTCCAAGGTTTCTTTTGTGCTTCCCCTGGCTGTCTGTGGCTGTGCATAGAGTACACATCAGGACCGGGGCTGCCGTATTCTCTGGCATGGTCTTCCCACATCCTGCTCTTTTCTTCCTCTTCCCAGCTGGTTGGGAGTGGCTAGGTTCCAGCTGCTCCCAGAAAACTCAGGGGTCCCATCCTAATGATACTCTAAGACCAGACCCCAGAATTGGGGTGTCCAGCGGGCTGAACTCAGTCACCATCCCGACCTCCACATTCCTGCTTTCCTTACATCCCCTGTGTGTTGCAATATGATAAAATGCCACAAGGGGGCAGGACAGAAACATGGGGCTCCTGCCTGGGAGGGCCAGGCTTCATCTGACCTTGGCCACAAGCCATACTGAGTCCACTGGAAACACTTCCTTGCAGGGCACAGTTCTTACCCACTGGAGGATTATAATCCCTGGTGACATTGGTGATCAGTCTCCTCCTTCTTTGGGCAGAGGAGTTTGTTACAGATGTAGCAGGAACCCCAACCTCTTTAGGCACCTGCCCACCCCCCACCAGCAGCTTGACCTCTGCCACTGGCTCCTCCAGCTGCAGGAGCAGAGGCTTGGCCCTGCCTCCCCAGGATGCCCCCAGCCACATATTATTATGTGCTCCTTGTAGGTGAGATCACTGAGGGGACAGGATTCTGGATCCTGAGGCCAAGGTGTATTGGTCAGGGGAAGACAAGTCAGCTCCTGTCTCCCCTCAACCCACCCATCGCAGCAGCCACCTTTCCCAATGTAGACTGGAGTCTGCCTACATATCTGCCTTGGGTCCCCTTCCTATTCTCCTGCTAAGAAGGGTGAGGGGGCTGAAAGAGGACAGGTCAGTCTTATTGTGCTGGAACAGGGAGAATGTCACTCCAAATCCAGATGTGCCCCTGGGGTTTAGGTGTGTGCTTGTGGTGGGGGCTGGGTGAGGGCTTCAAGCATCGACAGATTGCTGGGTCATCTCCTCAAGCTGCCCTCAATACCTGACTCCCCAACCTAAATCACACGTTAAGCACCTCCCTGCTCAGGGTCCTTGCTAGGCACACAAAGTTAAGAGAGGCAGAGCAGTGACTTAGATACAGTCCCCGCCCTTGGGGAAGGGCTTACAGAAACAAACCCCAGAGGCCCCAGGCTGGGCTGTTTTGGGCAGGTGGCAGCGGAGTAAGGATTCTACCTGGGCTTTGCAGGATGCATATTCTCCAAGCTCTGGGATGGCGGGAGGCATGTTTGTCTTTTCACTGGTGAATTTCCGTTGCCTGAAAAGCCTGTCACAAAGTAGGCATTGCATTAATATTGGGTGAAGCGTGAAGGGAGGGGAGAAGTAAGAAGACATTCATACAAGGGGTAAGTGGGCTATGGGGATGGGAGTCTGACAGTTGCCTCTTGGGTAACCAACCATCCTAGTTTTGAAATAGAGTTGTGATCTGGGAAGGCCCAAAGTCTAAGCAAAACTGAATGGTTGGTCACCCAAGTGGCTCCTCCCCTTGGAAAAGGGACATATATTGGGCTGTCCCAGGACCTTCCCTGTCTGGCCCTCCCTTTCTCCCCTCTGTCTTTCTTCCCTGTGTAGCAGGGTCTCCTCTCAGGTCTCCTGGGCCTAGCCCTGCCCCAGCCATGACCCCCCCAGCCTGACCTCTGGGGCTGCCCACTTCCCTTTCACTCCGCCACTCCTGATAAGGAGACTAGAAACAGGTTTGCCCTTTCACCTCTGCATATCTCTCTGTAGGAGCCTGAGGGTCCCTACATCCTGGGTCACATCCTGCAAGGCCCTGAGCCTCCCTCAGGTTGCCTGCCAGCAGCCCACAGTTTTAGGTGGGAGAGAAGTGTGGGGACAAGGGACAACAAAGACCACAGCCCTTGGGAGTTGGGTCTCTTCTATCCTGGCTGAGGAGGGCCCAAGAGCCCACTGCCAGGATGTAAGAGCTGGCGGGACAGGAAGGCTGAGTTGACTGACCCCTCCCTGGGATTTTGACTGACATTCTTGATGGAATTGGCCGGATGTTTCTCCTTCACAAGAGACACAGCCTCAGGCAAGACAGCTGTGCCTTCCTCAGCCTGCTGCAGCTGGAGGTGCTGGGAACCCAGAACCCACACTTCCTACTTTGGGGATAACATTGTTGGGCCAAATGGTCTCAAGCGAAAGGGTGTGGGGGCTTTTAAGGGGTCCCAAAAAGGGTCAGCATGACTTGCATGGATGATCTTCTGCCCTCTGCCCTCCAGACATCTACTCTTTGCTTGGGTCTGTGGATCCCACACAGGTGCTGTCATCTGACACTGGCAGGCAGGGTTGTGTGGACCACCTATTACTCAGAGACCACTCAGGGTCTATCCAGGTGCTGTTGGAGGCACTGAGTTATGCCAAAACCCACTTCCATTTTAAGTCTGGGGACATAGTTCTCCAAAGCTTCCCTCCCCATGAATTAGAAGTGTGATCAGATGAAGTTTTTATTCAGAAGAATTTGTTGTAATCTTTGCTGATTTGGAAGGTATTTCATGAATCCATGGCAATTTGGGATATGTCATTGGTAACAGCTTCAGTTTTTTTTTTTTTTTCCTTGAGATGGTAAGAATTGAACTGAGAATTTTCAAATTTTCTCCTTTGGTAAAATCCTGTCACAGCAATTATCAGTGGCAGAGGGGACATTACCCATCTGTGGCCTGCAGGGGGCGGTGCAGGGGAAGGAGGATTTTCTCACCCTTATACCTTGGTGGTTCTGGTGTTTATGAGCTTCAGGTGTGAAGATGGGGCTCAGGGCTCATTTTTTGTTACTACACCCTTTAGAATCATGTTTTTCAGATTTTAATCTCTTGAGTAGAGCTCACATCTGAGTGTCATTTGTACTATTAATATTTTTCTTTACTGTAGACACACACAAATACCTCCTCCTCCCAACCGCCCCCCCTGCTCCCCTCCGGTAGTACTGAGAATTGAACCCAAGGCCTCACATATGCTAGGCAAACACTCCACCACAGAACTAAAACCCCAGCCCTTTTTAGTTTGAGACGGGCTCAGGCTTCAAAGTTGCCCAGGCTGGCCTTGAACTTGTGATCCTTCCGCCTCAGCCTCCTAAATAGATGAGATTACAGGCATATGCCATGGCACCTGGCTCCTAAACATCTTTTGAAAGAAAAATTTACATCCTTACCATAAATGTAACACTAGTAGCACTTGCCATAAACAGAGAGCAGCTATACAAATAAATAAAATGAAAAGGTAGCAATGTTACTACATTGTAGCTAGGGTTGCCTGTAGAAGCCTCTGAATCCCAGGTTTTTTTTTTTGTTGTTGTTGTTTTGTTTTGTTTTTCTGAAAGAGGAATGTTGGCAAGTGTTAGGGATATTCTCCTTCCCTATTTGCCATGTCTTTAGGGATCAGATACAGCTGTTACATGAAGGGCACATTGTAATCTGGTAGGGAAGAGGATTGGAGAGGAATGACTTCCTTGCTCTGCAACCAGGTTGCCATCTAAGGTTATGACAGGTTCTCCCCAGAAACCCTGAGTGGTTTCCTGGGCCCGTCCAGGTCTCTTCTCCTGGTCACTGGCTTGGAGGTTCCCTCTCAGCTGGTTCCTGACCATGCCTTCTCCAAATGATCTGCCATCAGACACCTGCTCTGCTGCAGCTGTAGTCTTCAGCACATGGGGAGAAACTGAGGGGGTTCCTGGAGATGCGAGGAGCTGGTCTCAGACGTTGCCAGAATATTTCAGCCTCAACGAGACAATACTAGTAGGATCGTTTCCACTCTCCTCTGTGGAGCTACAGAGACTTTCCCTCCATGAAGCTTGAGCATAAACATGAAGTACAAGCTGTATTCCTATTGTCTGTCCACTCCCCTGTGTTCTGGACTATGTGTCCAGCTGTTCCTTGTCCTGTCCCCTTGCAGGCCTTATGGGCGTCTCAAGTTCCAAATGTCCAAACAAAGCAGAAGTCTTAACTCCACTACCAACCTGCTCTCCTACGTCCCCCACGTTGGTCCACAGGGCCTCTTTCTGTTCCTCACACTCCAGATCCAGTCTGGATATGTCCCCGTGACTCCACCTTCCAAACGTATCCAGAGTCCAGTGACTTCTGCCACCATCTGGGTGTGTGACCCACCAACTCTTGCCTGGACCAACACAGTGCCTTCAAGCTGGCCTCTCCTCATTTTCCACACACTAAAGCAAGAGTGACTTTTTGATATTTGATCCTATCACTCTTTGGCTTAAAATCCTCCCCTGACTTCCCATGACATGCCTGCCTGTCCTTCCTTATCTTCTACTCTCTACCTGGGGCAGTGAGTGTTCCCACCTTGAGGGCCTATTTCCATCGGCCTGACACTACATTGCCTCCCCAGGGCCTTTGCTCCTGTGGTCCTCTGCTTGGGGCACACTCCATCTTGTCCAGCAGCTCCTTGGCGGGTGTGTGTGTGTGTGTGTGTATGTGTGTGTCCAGACCACCCTGCTATGGCCCTCCCCCACCATTCTCTAACCCCCTACCCTGCTTTATTTTTCCTTTTAGGTCTTATCACTATTGACATTGTTTATCTGAGAAAATGGTTATTTCTTCATTGCTTTGGAAGGATAATTTCACCAGATACAGAATTCTAGATTGCTGGAGTTTCTTATTTCAAACACTTCAAATGTTCACTCTCATCTTCTCTGCGTGGCATCCGAAGTGAAGGCCGAGGTATTTTTTTTTTCCTTCTTGTTCCTCTGTAGGTAAAGTGTCCCCTCTCTGTTCTGGCTTCTTTCAAGATTTGTTCTTTGTCTCCATTTTCTGCAGTTTAAATGTGATATGCCTAAGTATTTGGGATTCATCCTGCTTGGTGTACTTTGTTGACATTCTATATTCATTTGTTTATTTGTCTACTGACTATTTCCCGCATGAGAAGATATATTCACGAGGACGCGAATGCACTTTATCTAGTTCCCACTGTCAGGAACAGCCTTGGAAGTAGTAGCATTCAATAAATATTTGCTGAAGGATGAATGAATGATCAAATAGAGAGCTGCTGAATGGTAAATTTATATAAGAAAGAAATCTTGTACAATGTAATTCATACGGTAAATTATTTCGTGTTTCATTTTCTGTATTTGAAGTTATTTGATCTATTTTTATATGTCAGTATAAAGTTGTCAGCTGGACTTGGTTGGAATAATATTAGCAGCAATGACTAACCACTTACTGAGTAATTACTACAGCTACTCACTGTTTGATGGGTTTCACATGTGTTAACTCATTTACTCCTAAAACAAAAACAAAACAAAACAACAACAAATCCCAACTCTTTGAAGCAAATACAATCATTGCCCTTATTTTAGAGATGAGAAAACTGAGGCCCAGAGAAGATAAGTTACTTGTTCAGAGTCACAAAGATACCAAGAGGTAGAGCTAGAATCTGAATCCGTGAATTGAAGTCTCCGGCGCCATGAGCTTAATCTCTGATTACTGCCTTGATTTACCTTTCAGTTGAGGTGTAAACAAAGTGTACTAACCCCAAGTGCACAGCTCAAGAAACTTGGAGTGTATTACCCCTTCCAGGCCTGCCCTAGAACCTGACCTGCGTGCCCCAGGCCTCTGGGTCTTTTTCAGTTTCCTGAAAAAAAGCCCTTGATCTGGGTAGCTTTTATTTTATTCTCTCTCTTTTTAAAAGTGCTAAAGTATCTTTTTTTTTTCCTGTTCTTTAATGCTTTTGCTTGAGCAAATGAAAAACAAAATTAAATAAAGTTTTATGGTCTGTTAATACCAAATTTGAAAAGCAACAAGTTAGAGCCCCTACCCTGACCCTGCTTGGCTCTGAGGGGCCTTCCTGAGTCTCCTACATGGAGAGAGAGGTGGAATATTTGGAAACAATCCTGTGTGCTTATCACGGCACTTCCTGTGACGGGTATTTAACATACCTGCTGATTGATATTGGGAAGGACCATCTTTGATGTTATCCTTTTTTTTTAAAGTTTCTTTTTAAAGATGTTTATTTTTTTTAAATGCTAATATAAAAAAAATCAAGAGCTTTGTAATGTTTTGAACAACCAATAAAAAAAAAATGCTAATATACTTTTGGTCAGTGGTTGATCCTCTGCAGTAGATGGTGCATCCTGCCCTTAAGAGGTTCCTGGACTCTGGCTTTCTCTGCTGATTGCTGCAGGCTGTGCACAGCTGTCCAGCACCTTCTGGGGCCTGAGACTGGCTTTTCACTGCCCCCACTTAGAGGGGAGAGAAATCCACAGAACTTTCTTTGCTTTTGAAAGCCCAGAGTGTTCTATAAGCTTGGCCATTCCATCCCAGCCTCCCCAAACACACATACACACACTCACACTCTTCCTCATGGAGAACTGGGAGGGGCCACTAATAGTTGGAACAGAAGCATCTTAAATTCCAGTCTGAGGACCCTTCCCCACCTCCTGCCACTTGCCTCCAAGCTTCCTCCCCAATTTCTCTTCAGAATGTGCAGAACCAAGGCATGGATTAATATGGATAAGTGCAGCAGAGAAGAAGGCAGGAGGGGAATGAGGGGGAGTAGGTAGAGTACAGACACAGGGTAAGGACCTGGGGCGGGGGCAGAGCTGGCTGGGGAAGACACCAATCTTTCCCCAGTTAAAGCTTTGAGGAGTCCCTCAAAGGCACCTGGCCTGGTAAAGGTAGGGTAGCCTGACTCTGATCCAGAGGGTGCTGAGGAGCAAATTTGTATAATTTGGGGAAGGAATATCAAGGGGGTCCTGTGACTCTTTGACAGTGCCGCCCTTTCACCTGTACCCACTCCATGTAGCCAAGCTGACCCCCAACTCCAAGGTTCTTCAGCCTCCTGGGGAGAGGCCAGGAGGGCTGGCGCTGGGTGGAGACGGAGGGGCCAGCCCTGCATGGCCATCATTCCTTTCTGATCTCCAGCCATCTCCCCTGCTCCAGTCCTGTCTAGCGCCAACTTGGAACTTCACAAACAGACTCCAGGATCTCCAGCCTCCCTGTTCCCCTGGTGTCAGCAGCAATTTCCTGGCAGGCCTGGTGACAGGAGCCTGAGCCTGCCCAGGGGAAACCCAATGCCCTGGTGTCAACAGTGAGTGTCCCTTGGTGTCTGGGGAATGGGGCTGAGACTGTGCAGAGCTGAGCAGCCTGAGGGGGTGGGAAGACTGCCACCATCCTCCTCCATCGCTCCCCAGTTCCTTCCACACCCAGTTGAGGCTGCTGGGCCTACTCTTCCTATATATACCCAAGAACCTTAGCAAATACCTCTTTTCCACTTTGTAACTGGACTGAGGCTGGACAAAGTCACCTGCACCTGGGGACAGTGCCTGGGGAGCAGTGGCCTGCTCTGGAACAGGCAAACCCCATCCCGCTACCTATGGTGTGAGGATGCTGCACTGGGGAGGGGCAGAAGGGCCTCTTACACTTCCTTCCCTCCCTTCCCACCTGGCTCCAACATTCAGACAAACATCTTCACCACAGGCCCCATTGATGGCTGACTGCCATCCCTCTGCCTCTGGTTTTTCTTGCTGCTGGGTTTGGGCTGGGTGCTTACCTTCTCAGTTGGCCAGAATGCTCCCTGCGGGTCTCCTCTTTTGTCCATAAGCCTCCGGGGTTGGCAGGGCCTCACCTGTGGTCTGCCACAACTTCGTTCCTGTTGCATTAGAATATGCCTCTGCATCCATCGCCAGCTGTGCTAACTGCTGGATACAGTCTCTGCTCTCGGAGGTCCTCAGTGTGGTGGGGAGTCAGTCTGGAGAACATACGCAATAGACTAGTATGGAGGCCATGATGGAGAAAAAGCAGACCTTGAGGTCATCCATTGACCCTGTAAAAAAATGGTCCCAAAGCTTGGGAGATTTGTCAATAGTACAAATAAGCGTGTACAAAACTAAATATAGGGGGCAGGAAAGATGGTGGGATGAGATGGACATCATTACCTTAGGTACATGTGTGACCGCGCATGTGGTGTGACATTGTGTACAATCAGAGAAATGAAAAGTTGTGCTGTAATTGTGTACAATGAATCAAAATGCATTCTGCTGTCATATATACCTAATTAGAATGAATGAGTAAATAAATAAACCAAATATACTACTTGTTTAATTGCCTCTTAACAGGCTTGGGCACAGCAGATAAATATGAATACATATAGTGTAAATTTAAAAGTTGTAGCACTAACATAATCACCATTTTCCTGGATAATGCATGTGTCTCCTACCCTTGGCACCGAGCAGGGGCTGGGTCCAGGTTTGCTGTATTGAATCAGATTGACTCACAGGGGTGAGATGACTCAAGATTGGAGGAGACATTCTGAGAAACAAGACTGGTCCCCGCCTGGAGGGGTTGTGAGATGTATCTGGAGGCTTAGGACTATGGGCAAATGCCTGTTTATTGGTTCCAGCCTATGTCCTGGTTAACATCCAGGTTGGCTGTTTTCACATGGCAGGTGGACCCTTTGCTCGGGCTGGGATTGTGGCTCAGGGGTAGAGCGCTCGCCTAGCACGGGCGGGACCCTAGTTCGATCCTCAGCACCACATAAAAATAAAGGCATTATGTTAAAAAAAAAAGTTTAAAAAAAGGAAGAAAAAGAAGTCTTTGGCCTGGGGCAGAGCTATGTGCTGGTGCTAGAGCCTGGTTTCTTTTCCTGCGCAGGCGCCCTTCCTCAGCTGTGGATTGCTGCTGCTGGGACTCATCCCAGGGGTTGCTGCTAATCCTGTCTCCTCCTCTTGCAGAAGAGGAAACTGAAGCTGAGCAATGTGCTCAGGCCTGCCCAGTCATGAGGTTCTTGACCCCAACTCTCCCAGTACAAGTCTCTGCTGACCCCAACTATAGTAAGTCCTGTGACAAGTATTTATTAAGTAATTGTAGCATGTGAAACTCTGGACTATGTCTCGGTCCAGGTAAGAATGTCCCTACGTAAAATAACATAGCTATTTCCAAACTTGTGGATTTTATGAACCAATTAACAATTTTAATTGAAGGATGGGCCTAGGTTTGGCAATTTTTATTATGCCAAGGATAGACTTCCTAGTTGGTACTCCTTCCTTCATCATGTTTTACAATGAAGAAGAACAGTTTAAATCGGAAAAGGAATGATGAAGAATTCACTGCTTATTTTTCTCCTTCACCTCAGATGGGCAAAAGCATCCTTATGGACCAGAACCCTTCCTTGGAATCAGAAGACTCAGATCTGCCCCAAGAAGCACCCCTCGTGCTCTGATCTTAGGTGACGACAGGGCTGGCCCAACCCTTAGCCATCGTCCAGCAGCCCACTTCAGGAAAAGGTGGGCCTGAGTGTTGGAATGGGGGGCTGATCCAGGCCCTTCTCCTGGTGCCTGGCAGGGGCAACGGGGCTCTGTCCTCAGGTTTTTGACCTTGAGGACGCTTAGACTCTTGTGCACTAACCTGGGGCACTGGCCAGTTTCCTTGAGCCTTGGACTCTCTTCTCACTGGCCGTGTGACCTTGAACCAGTCCCTGAACCTCTCTGGGCCCTTTCTTTGACTCTCTGGGCTGTAAGGATAGACATTCATGTAGCAAGCACACAGATGTGCGGTCATATGGGCTTCTTTTTAAGAACTTGCTACATATCTCTCAGGATCCCCAGATACCCAGCTTCTATCCCATCACTCTGTGTTACAGAGCAGGAGACCAAGGCCTTCGAGAGAGGATGTGGCACCAAGGTCGTATGGCAACCTGGAAGAGTGTGACACCAGGGGCCAGATTCCTGGCTCCCCCTCCAGAACCCGCCTCCCATACTCTGTAGCCTCCAGGTCTTCACCCAACCAGAGAGCTGTCCAGGGATGTCATCATTCTCCCAGCCTCCTACACCGCCAGGCCTTTGTTCCCTCAAGTGACCTCCGCCACAGTCTGTAGGTTTGACTTTTCGGTCGCACCTTTCCCCTCAGGTGGTGGCATATCGAGGCAGGAAGCCCACTCCAGGCACGATTGCCCAGGCTCTGTGTCTGCCCTGGCATATGGAGTCTTCTTCCCACTGGTGGTAGAGACCATTCTTGACCCTCCCTCCTGGCCTTCCTACCCTCTCATTCCAAAGACCAGGAGGAAGCCCCTTCTCTGGAAAAATCACTCCTTGTTGGCTCTTCTAGGCTCCGAGCGGCTCCCTCGGCTTCCCATTGTCACCTCCCCTCCTGCGTCACTCCAGGACAGGGATTGTGAGCAGCCCTGGTCCCTCTCCCTCTCAAACCTGTCTCATTTCCCCTCCTTCCCATCCTTTTCATCCTCCCTCTCCCTTCCCCTGGGCCCCAGGTCCTCTGCTGGGTCTTATCTGCCCCAGGATCTGACCTGCAGATGCACTCGCTGCTCTGCGTGCTCCTGACCCTGGGATGGCATCACCGCCCAGCCTGCCTGCCCTGGGGCCAGCTCCGGCCTGTTCTCCTTCCCTTTAAAAGCCCCCATGTCTTGAAGCTGATTAAAACAAACACAGCTCATATTTTTGTTCTTAATCCAATTCTGCGCTGGGCAAGGGTCGAGGAGGGAGGATAGAATGACAGAAGCACATTCCTCGCCACGCCAGGGGGAAAGCCAGAACCAGGTACCCACCAGGAAGTCCCCAGCCACTGGGAGGCCATGGTCCAAGTGGGGTGCTGGCAGGGGATGAGGCTGGGCCCCTCCCTGGATAGGACCCAGCAACCACTCCCAGGAGGGTGAGGGGAGAGGGGGTCAGTAGTTTTCCAGGCCCTTCCTGGGGGCAGCCAGCTGGGGGTGGGGCTCCCAATAGAGGCCTTTATTCTCTCTAGTCTGGAAATGTGACAGGACCTCTTGTCTCAGTCAAGCCCTTCCCATGACATCCCCCCTCAACACTTGACCTTGGAGCTCCTCAGGACACATAGCTCCAGAGTCGTGCAGTGGTGCCTTCTCACCCCAGAGGCAAGGCCCACAGGCCGCTCTGAACCAGAGCCTATGCTTCTGCCCCCCTGGGCTTCCCCGTGAAGGGAATGCCTGCAGCAGGGTGTGGAGGAGTAGCGAAGTCCCTCCATGGTGCCCGAGCTCTGGGGCCCAGTGAGTCTGAGTCTTGTTCTGCCATTTTCTAGTTGTGTGGCAGTGGGCAAATTTTGTAATCTCTTTACACCTCAGTTTCATTGTCTGTAAAATGGGGACAAAAGTAGAACCTATCTCATAGGACTGCTGAAAAGATATGTGTGCGGGAACACATCTGGCACTATACTGTATATTACACTCTGTGCATCATCGTTATATGGCATATATCATATTATGTTCTGGCACTATAATCTATATCGATATTAGAGGGAGTCTTGGTTATCATTGTTATTTTTTTATTACCAGGGATTGAAACAAGGAGTGCTTAACCACTGAGCCATATACCAGCCCCTTTTTATTTTGAAACAGGGTCTCACTGGGTTGTGTGCCACTGTGTCTGGCTCATTATTATTTTTGGAGGCAGACAGAGGTAATCCAGGGTTCATCTTTTAATGGCTGAGTGGTTGTAAGTAAACCATGCGTGGTCCCTGAGACTCAGTTTTTGCACTTGTGAAATGGGAACAAATTCAGCCTCAGAGAACCGTTGTGGGGCTTAACTAACAAACGTGAAAGTGTCTAGCGCTGGGTGTGACGTGTGTTCCCTGAGTCTTGAAATAGTGTGATTCCTCTGTTAAAAGAGATCTTAAGGGACAACCTTGTCTGAGAGAGGAGGGAAGAGAGATCAAATAAAAAGAGGGAGAAGAGAGAAAGAAAAGGTGACATGCTCCAGAATGGTCTCTGCAGGGGTTCAGAGAAGGAGAATAGGAATGAGATTGAAGAATATGAAAAGGGAAGAATGTGGAGAAAGGAAAACTGCCAAGAGGAGGAGCTGAAGGACCCACTGCTGCTAGAAAAGGGATGACAGAGAGCTAGAGAAGAGTCAGGAGGGGGTCGGTGGCCTTGGCTTGTGCCTCTCCTGAGTCTGTGGCAGGACTTGTCCTGGCCTCAACCACTCCTCCCCCATTTGCAGGAACAGGACCCCTCACCCCTGAATTTACAGACACAATCTCTGCAAGAGGTCTCTGGACCAGCTAGGATCTTCGGAACAGGTGGGTGAAAATCCTCTGGGATGCAGGTTCATGTAGATTCTTAGTCCTTCATGGCTAAAGAAGATCCTCAAGAGACGTTATTTGAATTCTAGTAGTGACAGCTGGCCTGCCCGACCACCTCTAGAGTGGTCCAAGGACCTCTCAGGTCAGGGCCCTCACTGCTTATACAGAGGTATTCACTGGGTCCCTTTCCAGACCCATCTCCAGCTATGGTGGCTGCAGATCAGTCGACTGCTAAGCAACAGTTTGGTGGAGTACCTATTTTGTGCTCCATCTGAAGGACAGGATGAGTCAGAGAGTGACCCTTGCAGCTTCCTGGGCCTTGGGAGTTGAGTGGTTCCCCGCTGCCCCCCGCCCCTCCATCCATGTTTGCTCATCACTGCCTCCCAGGTTCAAGGAAACTCTTATCCTCCTCCTGTACCCCATGGTCATGTGGCTTGGGCTGGGACTATTCCCCAGAGCACAGCTCCAAACTAAGATGTATCTTAGGTCAGGGAAGGGGGACTGGAAATGGCCCGTAAAAATCTTGGGCTCCCTGTAAACACAGAGCGCGGGTCTTTGAAAGCCCAAAGCACTTTTATGTGCTAGTTAAAGGGCCTTCCTGTTGTGTTGCCCAGATTTATGGGGAGATGGGTGGGGGATGGGGGTAGTGAGGTAACCTCTACCTTCTGACGCTCTGGGTTTCAGAGAAGGGGGGAAGGGAGGGCCGAGCAGCTTCTTGGCTATCACCCTCCACTACCAAGTAAGGACTTTAGGCTCATCCTTGATGCTCTGAGATCCTGAACCAGCCCCCCAGGGCAATGTTGCAGGCCAAGGCAGCAAGTAGAGTCCAGGCCGGCAGCATCCCCATCCAGGGAGAAGAGTCCCTGAGGCAGAATCAGCACTCTTGAGGCAGAGGCTAGGCTGGCCCTGTGGATCTGAAGTACGCAGAAGTAGGACAGTGTGAATTCTTAATACTGAACAATTTGTGGGACAGATTGTTCCAAGGTCAGCCTTGCCCATGCCCTGTGTCTGACAACAGCATCAAGGGATCCTGGGGAGCATCTGCCCCTCTTCATCATGAATAGGAGACCATCAGCAGCCTGCTTCCCCTGACAGCCTGTAGGAGTATGATGTCTATGATTTTTTTGGGGGGGCGGGTACTGATGATTAAATCCAGGAGCACTCTGCCGCTGAGCTACATCACCAGTCTTTTTTATTTTTTAATTTTGAGACAGGGTCTATTAAGTTGCCAGGCTAGCCTTGAACTTGCGATCCTCCTGCCTCAGACTTCACAGGGATTACAGGTGTGCAACACTGCACCCAGCAATGTCCATGAACTTAAACTTTGAAAGCCCACAAAAACAAAGTGTTCCTTGCTCTGGGAACAATGAGCTGTTCAATTTGCTTTTCTGTCTGGGGGAGATGGGCTCAGCAAGCCAGAGCGGAGAAGCCCTTCGCTGACTGCGGAATGGGGAGGAGGAAGCTGCCTGTCCTTGCTCATCCATGGCACCCTGTGCTCTTTCCCCTAAGGGCCTGTTGCAGCATCTTCTCAACACCACATGGCTTCTTCTTCCCCATTGTGAACTGGGTCCCTGTGGAATAGAACTAAAGGAGAGACCAGCATTCACTGGCCACCCTGGAGCCAGGCTCTATGCTGGTGACTGCATACCAAGTCCCCTTCCATCCTCTTGCCCTATATGGGAGACACTAATCTCCTCTCATGGCTGTAATTCAGGATTTGTCAACTCTTCCCCCTCATCCTTCCCTTTTGAGAATTAATGTGTGTCTTTTCTCAGCTTTCCAGCTTATAAATAAGGAAGGCGAGGCTCGTGGAAGTTTGGTAATTGGGGGGATGCTTCAGCTAGGTAGTGCCCAGCCCAGGGCGCTTTCCCTGTCCCTTCAGTTAATCTTCCCATTCTCCTGGTCTCCTTGTTCCATGATGCTGGGACATGGAGAAAAGCCCTGCTCCTTGGCTGGTGTCACAGGTATCTCAATAGGATTTTCATCTCAGGCCTGTCTTGTCTCTGTCAAACAGCCTTGTCCTTTGGCCACTTGCTCTTGCTGCCCTCTTCTGCACTTTCCCCATCCTCTCTCCATCCCGCCTGGGAAGCAGCAACCAGAGCCACGCACTAGGGCTCTGTATCCAGGCAGGAGGATTTCTACATTGACCTCACTATGACCCCCATTTCTGGCCTGCTGGCCCGAGGTGCCCATGTGGCCTCAGGCCTCTGGCATTCTTCCCTGATGCTGCTAGTCATCCCTCTGCTCCTCTGTGACCCTATTGAGTTTCCCCAGGTCCGGCCAACCAAACACTGCCATATGGGGGAGAGTTACATTTCCTGTATATGTGTCAAAATATCTGAACGGATGTGAAATAGATCAGACATGTATAAAAATAAACTTTTACAGGGTGACTGACTGTTCCCCTCCAGGGGGAACCAGTGATTCACTCTTCATCTGGGGCCCAGAAACTTGGCTGGGGACTTGGGGACCACTCCCCACACGTGGCTCCCCAAGGCCATCCTGCTTTACTTCCTTGGGCTTGGGGCCAGCATCTCTCCTGGACGACATTGTCCCCAGGCATCCATGGGTGTGGAAACTCCTCCCCAGTAGGCCAGCAATTAGCAAGACACCTTTCTGGGCCCTAGTCTCCTGCTCTTTCAGCCCCACTGTCCCTCTGACAATCCAAGACTCTCCAACCCAGAGGACCCTCCCTGCTTAGTCTACAGTGGGACCACCTGGTCACCTCTTCTGCTCATTGGAGCACAATGATTATATCTCAGTTGTCCTTTTCCTATTATATAAGTGTGAGCCCTGGGGGACAAAAGGGCAGGGGCTTTCTATCCAGGCACCCCTGCCTGTGATTACTATGACAGCTTGTCGAAGTCATCTGCTTGTCAAGGTCATCTTGTTCATCTCCCTGCTTCCTGCTAACTCTGCACCTGACTTGGTTTGACTAAATGGGGCTCATTCTCTTAACCGCTAATGGTTTGTAGGAAGTAGCATCCTGGACCTCATATCAGGAATTTATCCCTAAATGTAACCTGCATTCTTTTGCACTCTCACCCCACACCCCCTTACCAGAAGTGGAAGGTCAGGTAGGAGTGGCAGCTGAGGAGGATGTACTCTGGTTTGGGACAGCTCCGGAAAAATGCATTGACCATTCTATGATTCTGAAGCAGCTTGTAGAGAAGACCTTGGTGACCATGTGATTCCCACCAGATCCCATTCTTGGGCCACTGGTTTCTGACTGGCAAAGAACCTTAGCCTCATCTTGACTTCTGCCTTAGCTTAGTCAAGGGACCAGAGGGTCCTAGACATAAGGCCCAATGTCCAGCACACAAACTTAGAACCCAGAGGCTAGGGGCTCATTTCCATTTTTCCACAGCCATTGGGGCTAGAAGGTTCCTTTTCCTTCCCAACTGTGCTACCAGCTGGCAGGAAGGGAGTTCAGAGTCACTTCATCTGTCTCTCACACCCTGCTTCCTGGCCCCAGGGCCATCACTGCAAATGCACCATCACTAACAGCAACGGGCCTCTGACGAATAGCTGGCATCCCGCCAGGAAGCTGGTGCCCAAAGCTTAGACTATACCCCCCATTACCTGCCCACTGCCTCTCAGGTCTTCTTTGATCACCTTAAGTCCAGGCCAATTGCAAATGCCAGAAATGGTTTTCAGCCAGGTTCTGCTGAATCTGAAGTCTAGGAATCTTCTAGGTGGAAAGACACAGGCAAGGTGTCAAAGGGAGACAGGATTTTGGAGAAGCCAAGGAAGGGCAGGGCTGACTTTCTCTAGGTCTCTCTGGGGCAGAGACTCCAAATACCTCTCTTGCCAGCACCTGATACTTTGTCCCACATGCTCTGTACTCCCCCATACCGTGAGTCCTGTACCTTCCCAGACATTTCACTCTTAATCAGATCCCTTTTAGTTCAAGTAATGGAGTGACTAGTCTAAGAGTCCTAGGAGCATTTACCAGGGGGTGGTCTTAATGTACAACAGGCAGTGGGTCCAGCGTGATGTTCCTGCAGTGAGGAGACACTGCAGAACAGAAACTCTTATATTGGTGACCCCTTGGAGGCCATCAACTAGGATTTCAGACTCCTGGTTAAGCAGCTCTCACTTGGGTTTCAAAACCAGGAAAGACTTAACTAAAGGAGTTTTTTAGTTTACCATGGAGGCTGAGGCAGCCCCTGACCAGGCCTGAGTTTTTCTATTGGCTGATAAATTCCATGCCACTCTCAGGAGCATCCCATCAGCTATTGGATCAGAATTTTCTTCGTCTTCCTTTTGGCTCCAGCCTCTTCTAATGACTGGCTGCATTTAGTTAGTGCTACCAGCTGGAAGAGAAGGAAATAAAAAATGAAATAAACAATTCGTCCAGACCAACATCCCACCATCCAGTTGGACTTCCTCAGCGTTAACCAAGCCCAAGTCAAATCCAAATTTGCTAGTTCCCTAGTTCAGCTGTAAAGCAATCTCTCTCTTCACAGAGCCTGTCTCACAGGTAGCTCAGTGTCCCTAAGCCCAGCCTCATTCTGCTCCCAGCTTTCTTCCCTCTTTTCCCTCTGGCCTTCCATTTTGGTCCCAGCATCCTTTGGGGCAAAGGTCATGCAGCTTGTTATGTGCCATGTTCCCTGGCAGGAACCTCCCTTTCCTCTTCTGAAAGAAGGGGGTCTTGTGGCTAAGATTCTCATCCAAGGACTGACCTTAGCACCATTAGGCCAACAGCCAGGCTGAAACAATTGTGCAAGGTGCCCTGTTGAAGGACCAGACTTTGTATCTCTCCAGGAAAAACAAGGGTGTCTTTGGTCCTGCAGAATAAGTGTGGCAGCATCTTTGGGGTGGCCACAGGCTTCTGTATCCAGACTGTGCTGGGGACTTGCAAGACCAGCAAGGGCAGGCAGGGTCCTGGGTGGGGCTCTGTGGGCACCTCCTCTATCCTTGCTTTTAACGCATCATATTTGATTTTTTGCTTCATGTCAAAGGGTTCCTGCCACTCAGGATGATGACACAATCTTC